AGCGACCAGGAATTACCGTAGAACATGTAAACATTTCAAGGCAATAAAACCAAAGCAGACCTGTGTAATCAGGACTCATAAGACGTACCAATCAACTTTAAAGTTCAGTATTCAACTTTATCATTTTAGGGGAGACTTATGAAGATTACGTTTTACACTGAGCAAAAAAACTGTTAGTTGTTAAACACCAGCTAAAGCAACTGTTCTAAAGAAGTGAAAAAAGAATATTACAGTATCTGACTACAATATATTACTGAGTTATTACTATACATCGGGATGAGTTGGAATGTCATTTAGTCTGTTCAGAAAATTTACAGATATTACGTAGGACAGCATACATTACACGTAAAGTTAACTTCGGCGACAAAACTCATTGCATACTTAACTGTTTCGAAGATCATACGTATTCCTAAAACAGCTTTTTACATATCACATATTCTTAAAAATAAGTTTTCGTTCATTTGGAATTTTTATTCAAGACTATTAGAAAATAAAATAACGCATTAAATTGGCATGCTCATCAACTGTGCTTATAAATAAATCTCCTATTTTTGGCTATCAATGAATGATTACGTTTTTACAATGGATGTACTTAAAAAGGATTTTAAGACATTGTTTAGAAGTCTTCGAATGACTCGAAATTTATAAATGAAGAACGTTTAGTAATTCAGCATATATCACAAACCGTATGGCATAGAAATGTGAAATTGAACAGGGATGATAAGGTTAACTTGCGGATGCAAATTTCACAGTTGTCACTTGTTGCCACCAGAGGTGCCACTGTATTTTCTTTCACATTTTTCCAATGGGTATAAATGGGCCTGTCGATCGAAGTGTAGCTCATTGAACCAACGTGAAGGTGACATCTGTGTAGATAAATGGACTAATGAAATGTTATTACACCAAAGGATGCAATATAAAAGCGGCTGTCGTGGAAAGCATAACGTTCGTAGAGGGACTTGTTCCAGTGATGCTCTGTGCAAGTTCATAAACAAAATAAGCCACGTACATACAAACCACCGAAATCTACTAAAACTATCTCTTCGGTCAACCATTCTGTGGCTTAACAAAACAGCACAGCTGCACATGGGTACAGCAGTGCTCGTTATACCGCTTGGTATCTTGTGACTTAACAAAACAGCACAGCTGCACATGGGTACAGCAGTGCTGGTTATACCGCTTGATATCTTGTGGCTTAACAAAACAGCACAACTGCACACGGGTACAGCAGTGTTCGTTATACCGCTTGGTATCTTGTGGCTTAACAAAACAGCACAGCTGCACATGGGCACAGCAGTGCTGGTTATACCGCTTGGTATCTTGTGGCTTAACAAAACAGTACAACTGCACATGGGTACAGCGGTGCAGGTTATACCGCTTGGTATCTTGATTTGTCAATTTCAACCCATTCTGTGGCTTAACAAAACAACACAACTGCACATGGGTACAGCAGTGCTCGTTATACCGCTTGATATCTTGTGGCTTAACAAAACAGCACAACTGCACATGGGTACAGCGGTGCAGGTTATATCGCTTGGTATCTTGATTTGTCAATTTCAACCTATTCTGTGGCTTAACAAAACAGCACAGCTGCACATGGGTACAGCAGTGTTCATTATACCGCTTGGTATCTTGTGGCTTAACAAACAGCACAGCTGCACATGGGTACAGCAGTGCTCGTTATATCGCTTAGTATCTTGTGGCTTAACAAAACAGCACAGCTGCACTTCATCCTTTCTATAAGTGTCATTATCTTATGGACTGATGAAGCACACTTCAACCGTTTTAGAAGTGTCATTATCTTATGGACTGATGAAGCACACTTCAACCGTTTTAGAAGTGTCATTATCTTATGGACTGATGAAGCATTCTTCAACCTTTCTAGAAGTGTCATTATCTTATGGACTAGTGAAGCATTCTTCAACCTTCCTAGAAATGTCATTATCTTATGGACTGATGAAGCATTCTTCATACTTTCTAGAAGTGTCATTATCTTATCGACTAATGAAGCACACTTCAACCTTTCTAAAAGTGTCATTATCTTATGGACTGATGAAGCATTCTTCAACCTTCCTAGAAGTGTCATTATCTTATGGACTAATGAAGCACACTTCAACCGTTTTAGAAGTGTCATTATCTTATGGACTAGTGAAGCACTCTTCAACCTTTCTAGAAGTGTCATTATCTTATGGACTGATGGAGCATTCTTCAACCTTCCTAGAAGTGTCATTATCTTATGGACTGATGAAGCATTCTTCAATCTTTTTAGAAGTGTCATTATCTTATGGACTAATGAAGCACACTTCAACCTTTTTAGAAGGGTTATTATTTTATGGACTGGTGAAGCACACTTCAACCTTTCTGGAAGTGTCATTATCTTATGGACTGGTGAAGCACACTTCAACCTTTCTAAAAGTGTCATTATCTTTTGGACTGATGAAGCACACTTCAACCTTTTTAGAAGGGTTATTATTTTATGGACTGGTGAAGCACACTTCAACCTTTCTGGAAGAGTCATTATCTTATGGACTAATGAAACATTCTTCAACCTTCCTAGAGGTGTCATTATCTTATGGACTAATGAAACAGTCTTTAACCTTCCTAGAAGTGTCATCATCTTATGGACTAATGAAGCACGCTTCAACCTTCCTAGAAGTGTCATTATCTTATGGACTAATGAGGCACACTTCACCCTTTCTAGAAGTGTCATCATCTTATGGACTAATGAAGCACGCTTCAACCTTCCTAGAAGTGTCATTATCTTATGGACTAATGAGGCACACTTCACCCTTTCTAGAAGTGTCATTATCTGATCGAACAGTAATCCACATGAGACATTTCCTACACACCTACATGATACTAAAGTATCAGTGTAGTGAGTTTCACAGCTGACTTTGGTATTGGACCACACTGTTTTGATGACCCATCAGCACATGGACTACAAACCTGCACAGTTAACGCTGCACAGTACCCTGCAGCGCTCACAACCAATGTCATTCGCATGCTGCGGTAACGAAATGTAATAGAACACCATGGTTATCATGCAGCATGGTGTCTCTCAACATAATGGTAACCATGTGAACACGATCTTTTGGGAGGGGAACATTTTTAGAACAGAATAATTTCATGTCACTTTCCTTGTGAATGGCCACGTGGTTCGACAGACACTTGAAGTCACGCACGTTCCAAACCTCCGGAAAATGGCCATTATACAAGATGATGTGCGCCATCTGTGAGATATAATATGTTAAACTGCAAAACTATATTTATAATTATCCCGTATATAATTCTCTTTGTTTCATTAATGTTTTTTATCTCTTACATCCCGTTTCCATAATGCCTAATTGTACATATATTATTTTTATCTGTAATATGTTTCAATAAATAATTGAATGTATTTTTGATTATTTCATATGCAAGTGGCTATAATGTATAGTATTTAACTCAGATGCAGAGATCCAATGTTTGATTTGCTCATAGCAAGTTAAAACCACAAATTTACAGTCTTTAACCAGCCAACGTTTCATAATAAACAGGTGTGAAAAACGCACCCATAAGCAATCATGAGCAGAGAATGTGCGTTGCTAACCCTGTGTTAACGATTGTTCGTAAGACGAGCGGCATACTTGTAATTTCTGTAGTTAATGCCATGGTAACAGGTTGCCATGGTCACCAAAGTGGATAAAATGAACTTCAAATTATTACCCCATACTACTCAACATACAAAAGGAAACTGCTTTAGCATCATTTAAAACTCTTACAAGTAGTTTTGTTCTGCATCTTTTCAAATAACGTAGGCTTAGGTATTTAATTAGCTCATAACTTGTCTACAGAAATATATACAGTTCACGTCGCCTGCCCTATTTATATATCACACTATTTATTTTAGCCTAGTTCTATATGTATTCTTATTTATTTGTATATAAAAGCTACACATTCAATGTAACATCATTTTGTCAGTTACACGAAACCTTACTTATAATGTTGTTGTTCTTTTGTATCACGTTAATGTATCTATGTGCACAGTAACACTGGAAAGTACGACAAACAAGAAAGGTGTCCTATGACTCTTAGAAGAACTTTGTGTGAATATAACAATCTCCAGTCTCTAGATTTATCAAGAATTAAACTTGTCTGGATCTTCCACAAAAATAAACTAAGAAAGGACAGCTATGTCCATTTTTCTTACCCATAATTCCCTATCAAAGGTCAATACTGGGAACCAAATAGGTTATATATAAAAACAAAAGACTTAAGAAGTAGTTACACACACACACACATATTACACACTCACACAATTAAAATTACTTACAATAGATTCAGTACTCCAAGCATTAACTCAGCTCTCCACAAGAATCTCCAGAATCGTTTACGTCACAAATATTTAATGAATGAGTCTATTGTTTTCATCTACGTTGATCTCCAAGCTATATATATATACTCATTACCCAAAGTAATGCAGTTACCTTAGACTCCCATTTTCAAAATTTTTGAATCCTCTTGATAGACCGTGTTTTATGATGTGTAGGATATAATTTACGAGTTCATGTTGTAATATCTGTCATATAAATGCATTCAAGTTGACTTTAACAACCAAATGAAATAATGGGCGACGTAGTGTTTCACCAATTAACAAAATAATGACTGTCACTCGTCCATTTTATAGTACATTAATCCCTACAGAGTAATAACGTGTGTGTTGTTTTAATTTCGTATTTTAACTTAAGTATTTCCAGGTCTTACTGATAATAATTCGGATCTCGTATGATTCAATAGCTTTAGTTAGTTTGGCTTATCTGTTTCTAACAATGAGTTGAGATAAAACGTACCAACTATGGAAACAGCTTTGGTTAGGTTGTCTTACCTGGTTCCAACAATGAGTTGAGATAAAACGTACCAACTATGGAAACAGCTTTGGTTAGGTTGTCTTACCTGGTTCCAACAATGAGTTGAGATAAAACGTACCAACTATGGAAACAGCTTTGGTTAGGTTGTCTTACCTGGTTCCAACAATGAGTTGAGATAAAACGTACCAACTATGACAACAGCCATGTAGAGCACCTAAAAAGAAAAAAAATATATATACTTATTTAAATACTAGTGTTATACAATGTGTTTTAAGAATTTTATTTTGATTATAAAATGGGTATTTGAGAATGAATTTTATGTTGATATCCCCTGCGAATAAATACTTAATTAATTTGACTTGGAAAAACTTATTACATATATGTCTTAAAGTTTCTATAATCTTCCCTTTTAAAAATAGTTTAGACTGAGTTTGGAATTGTTCAAGTTGAACATTTGTGAAGTTTTAAATACAAAGTATAAGAAAACATTAAAGGAAAAAAAAATGGTTACATCCAGAATCAAACCTTTAGTTCAGTTTGTTTGCTTGTAATGAAGCACAAAGCTACACAATGGGCTCTCTATGCTCTGCCCACCACGGGTATCGAAACCCGGACTCTAGCGTTGTAATTCCGCAGACATACCGCTGTGCCACTGGGAGGGCCCTTTAGTTGTTAGTAGAGAAAGTTAAAAGTTATTGAAAGTATTTATTTTGAGGATGAGCACTCTTACTGAGCTGTGTTTCATTATTTTTTCTGACTACATTTGTTTAAATACACAAATTTTGGTAAATTTGTGTTTTAGTAAGACGGAATATATTGAACTACCTCAAGATACATGGATATTGCTAGAAATATCTCTCTAACATTCCAACGTAAAAGTCAAACACTTTTCATATCTTGTGACTCTTTATTTTAAATCTCATTAATTTAAAGTTTTAGCTCTCCAGCTCCAGACATTGAAAACGGCATGAAAACGTAAAGATTTCTCGGCTCAAACGGTTTGGTTAGTTCTGAATTTTGCGTAAAGCTACCCAAAGATTATCTACGCTAGCCGTCCCTAATTTAGTAGTTATAGACTGTAAGGAAGACAACTAGTCAACACCACCAACCGCAAACTCTTGAGCTACTCTATTACCAACGAATAGTGGGATTGGCCGTCACATTATAACGCCTCCGCAACTGAAAGGGCGAACATGTTGGGTGACGGGGGATTCGAGCCCGCGCCCCGTAGATTACGAGTCGAGCGCCCTAACCACCAGACCATGCCAGGCTATGGCTTAAATCACACTTAGTGAATCACGTATTTAGTGTTAGATAAATTGATACAAAAAAGAATGATACTTCGACCTAAAAATGGACCTCATAATTATTTGAAGATCGGGTTCTCTTCGAATGTATTCCTTGTCCTTAAGGATATTATGAGAGACTGCTTTGAAATATCCTTAATATACTCTAATTCATTTATCATTTAAGGAATCTGTTTCTTAAGATATGTTTTTTTTTTCAATCATTAATGGTAACCTCTCGAATGTGACAATATATAATGAGAGATAAAAAAAAATCTGATAACATGTCTTTATTAGTGGAAAGTCACGAAAAATGACACACTACTCTAGATTTATTAGAATAGTTTCTGCGTGACTGTACACCAAAAAGACGTGCAGATTTCACAGCACGTGCGTTTTGAGTTATCTTGAAATCCCAGATTTATCGTGCAGCTTAAGCTATAATGATTCTTGAGGAGAAATGACACAGACGACATCACTAACACGAAAACATTTTTTTTTAAATTTATTCATTGACGTTCTTTGCTATTAATTGAACATGGTTCCCTACCTCTATAAGAATCAATAATACTGAATTAAAATATTTTTAACGGTAAAAAACTAGAACAAAATCAAAAATGTGGTGTAATACAAGAAAGTGCAAGCTTTCATCACGGTTCGGGCAGCGACTTCACATTACAGACAGAATGAACACAGAAGCTTAAATAGACGAAGGAGTTCGTGTAGCTCAGGAAGGTATAACTGCTAGTTCCTGCGGCCTTTTCTGGAATTGTCTGACAGTTCTACAACAATGTACTCATACTTGACATTCAATAATGTTTACCATCTATGAGAAAAAGGATTTTAATGAAATTTTGACTTTAAAAATTAACTATCATCACAGAGTAGATTTTATTGAAGTA